GTCATTTATTCCCATTTATTTTCACCTTAGAAATAAATATTTTTTCATAAAATGTAATGCGTACTCATAAGCGTTCAAATGCGCACTCTTGTGCAATGAACTGTCTAAGAGTGCGTATTTACACATCTTGACAAAAATTGAAATTACTCTTAAAATATAGTGGTGTTGGGACGTACAATTAAATATATCTGATCTCTAAACATGTATATAACGAACCTATATCATAAAATTTGTCTATCCAAAAAAATTAGAAAGTTATTGACAATTTTACACTAAATGCGTACTCTTGTACACATTTACCCTACATTGAATAGGTATATTGAGTACATTGCTTGAATTTCATCACTAGCATTTCTAATTCGCTCAATCATACTATCATGTGTTGTTGGTTTTATTTCTATTTGTAAACTTTCTCTTTAAGGAAGACCTACAAAAGAAGTCTCAAGAACTAAGATCTGGTAATCAGTGACCAATGAAACCATGATCAAGTACTGTAGGGTAAATGTGTACAAGAGTACGCACTTAGTGTAAAACTGTCAATAACTTTTTAATTTTTTTGGATAGACAAATTTTATGATATGGGTTCGTGATATACATGTTTAGAGATCAGATATATTTAATTGTACGTCCCAAGACCACTATATTTTAAGAGTAATTTCAATTTTTGTCAAGATGTGTAAATGCGCACTCTTAGATAGTCCACTGCACAAGAGTGCGCATTTGAACGCTTATGAGTGCGCATTACATTTTCTGAAAAAAATCTTTATTTCTAAGGTGAAAATAAATAGGGACAAGTGACTACAGACTACACATACAACGGGATCCATATTTCTTCGTACTTTAGGTGTCTTGAAATTCGAGAAAACGTAAAAGTAGAGAGTCGGTCGACGGACTCGATTACAATACTTCGCTTACGCTCAGGAAGTAAAAATTAAAAAACAAACATCATCATAACCACCACCACACAACTTGAGAAGCAGTACAAAGTAGTAGAGTTAAATAATTCATTATAGTATCATATGTATCTATAAGACTACGTATCGCTAGTATTGCGCACTCTTGTACATTTGTACATAACCTAATGTTTTCAAACTTAAAAGCTTTTGATGTATAGAAAGTATAAAACTGCTAGTGTATAACGACACCTTAAAAGTTACAGCTAATGAACATTATTACTGTAAAATAAAAGAACTGGTACGTACCTTACAAAAAACTAAAACTATGAGCGGTAAAAATTACATCCACACAACGCGTAAACATAAAATCGTCAGTACGATCAAACTATAAACTATATACAGGTCACTGTTGCACCTTTATCTCAAGTTTAGCATTGGATTGTGAATGGTATAACTTCATCTTACCCAGATGGCACTAATAAGCAGAAATCATCAGTGCGTACTCTTATACATATGCGCACTCTTGTACACATTTACCCTACATGCTTCCATTGAATAGTGTTCTCTACAAGTTGAAACCACATGAAGATTTCACTACATCTATACGTCCTTAACTCCCAAGAAACGATTAGTTAAGTTTAAACTGCCTAAAGAAACTTTCTGTAATCTATCTCGTAAACATTTCCTTCCAAACAAAATCTTCAATCACTGGAATAGGATCCCCAATGATTTCCATGTTTCTAGCTTTAAAATTATGTCGGATAACCATCTTCCAAAACTTAATTTGTAGTTTATTATGGTTGTATTGCGTTGGCATAACAGGATTGACCTCTGTCCTATCGCGTTATTGTAATAATATTAATACAAATAATAATAAAGAAGTAACATATAGATAAGTATGGTGATCGTGAACATAAACCTTAATTATGAAACATGTTAGAGATTCTAATAGTTCAGTATTGTCGTAAAATAAGTGTGTAAATTACTCATTACTTCAAGGTTTATATATGTAAATAGAATAATCAACATTTTGCCGAAATTTCAGCGATAAATCTCTGCTTACGTTCTAAACCCTTTAATCTACTTGTCTAGATGATAATTTACTAGATTTATTTAAATTTGTATTCCACTTACTTTCTTACCAACGTTAGGCACAACGGAACTGATCGGCAATCCACCAGACAAAAATTAAAAACCACGGCGCGACTTAAGGCGATATATTTGGCTGGCCGACTGTGCAGTTTCAACCACGTCACAACCTCAGTATTTTTTTATACTTCCGGTTGACGTAAAAAGTTGTTTGTGACTATCGATATCGGTTAGTATTATTGCTTGTCATTCTGTCACTGACAAGTGGATTTTCTACGCAGTGGATAAAGATTGGGATTTGAAAAAAGTTTTAGGGTACTTCGTTGTTACTGTTTATGTAAAATTTTTTTGACAAATTCGGCAAATGATAAATAACAGTAATATTAATTAAAAAAAAAATTATTCTGTTGCTCTTCTACATCCTGCGTCCTGGGGCCAATCACAAACATTGAGATCAGGATTAAAATGTAATCCAGCTGGGCAGTCAAACAAAAACGGTTCTCCATTAGAACATTCGTAAAATTTCGTGCAATCATCGTGTGGAATGTAAGTTGGTTGTGCACCGTCTCGGGCCGGACAGTGCGGAACTGTTGAAAATATCATAATATCTAGAAATCAGTTAAAAATATATATATAAATACCTGTTTGAGAAGAATATGCAACAAAAGCCGCAAGCGTGAATAGAACTGTATAATACATAGTTAAAAATAGTATTTTTCTAATTTATTAAAAATTTAGAAACAATTAAGTATTTGTTGAATCTTGGGAGAATTCAGGTTTCAAACTGATGAACTTTAGCAGAGTAGACGGTTTATATAGGCACTAAAATTCAAGCTTAAATGAGAACGGTAGCCTTCGAATAGATAATCTCAGCCTGTCAACGATTTAGTAGTGGATTAAGGAGGAATATAATCCAAGCAATTGATCCCATTTTTAAAGAGTATCACATTTATTTCTTTGCAGGTTTTTTATCAGGATGTCCGCTTAGATATATTTACTGAATAAATATTAGCAGATTAATTGAAAATACACGCTTTAGATTAATAATCTAGGAAGGGCATCCGCTTTAAATGATTAACGATGAGATTACAAAAATATTCTTATTTTGTGCCGTTTTTCAAATTTTTACTGCATAGTCACAAATTTACTAAAAATTCTCTAAAATATGATATGCGGAGAGAAAAAAAATGTGTTTAGGTTTGCAGTGAAGATATTGTTTTTTCAAATTATATTTTAGTAACCAGTATCTTCAAAGAAGTCTTCTTATTTGCGTACATTGACAAACTTATATTCTACAATATAAATCTATACAGGGTTAGTCACGAGAGAATTACTTCTGAAAATTATTTTTACGCAACCCAAAATACGAATACCATGTACCATTTGATACTAACTAAATTTAAAATGAAATGCTTAATCCATGATTGCTTTGAGTTTGGCAATCTCATTTTGACAATTGTGGAAAAGGACGTTATGCGAGTGTCCATGGTGGTACCGCAGCCAGTCGCAAATCTCCTCCGGCGCCGCTAATAAATTTGTCAGTGTGCCTCTTGATCTTTTGCAACCGATTAATCACGAGAAAATTATTTCTAAAAATTCCTTTTACGGCATTTTATTCAAAGGTTACAACACAAACTCAAACAAGTAAGTAAATAATTTAACTACTAATCTGTTGAAAATGTTGGGCATTTTGGGGGGATGCTACGGCTTTTTTGTAAATATATGGCCGAAGAAGTCCAGAGGTTGCAGATTTGCACTTCGAAGAGGCTCTAGGTGACGCAGAGATGGCGAATTAACACATGCACATTAGCGGCGAAGAACATTGGTAGAGCACTTACGGCTTCAGTATAGCCCAGATTGATCTGACTGTATGTCGTCGATCCAATGGGGCTCTAGAGGCGAGTCAACGATGAAAAAAAATGTTAAAAATTAATAAACGTCAAAGTGACACTGCCAAAGTCAAAGCAATCATGGATTAGGCATTTCATTTTAAATTTAGATAATATCAAGTGGTACAGGGTATTAGTACTTTGGGTTGCGTAAAAATAATTTTCAGAAGTAATTCTCTCGTGACTAACCCTGTATAGTACTTTCAGAAATTATTTGCACTATAAATTTACTGCTTAAATCATATCAGTTCACGAGAATTCAAGATTAGGATCATCTGATTTTTAAAATCCTTTAATCTGCAAACCAATATATGCTACAGTATTATTTCCTGTATTTGTTTTCATGTTTATAGCACTTTCTTAATTCTGTTGGCCTTAGCACGTTAACCTCAATTTCGTATTTAGGCTCCATAAGAACCTAAATCATTATGATAAATTCGTCACACATTCTTTGTAATCAGACTTGGATTTTCAAAGATTCTGATGGACTACATACTGGCCAGTGATTCACAAGATTTGTTAAGTTACAATTTTCTTCTTCTTCTTCCTTCATTTACGTCGTAACTTGTTTTGCTTCACGCTTGCTATGGAAATTCTTCTAAGGTTGAGGTCTTTCCATCTTTTCAAAGATATAGCTGGATTGCTTTTGCTGATTTCGGATTTAAATCCCGAACTATTCTTGGCATTTCATTTGAATAAACTTAAGTGAATGTAAGTAAATAAAATTACAATATGCTGCCACATGCATAAATATGTGACAAATAATAGCTGTGGTTAATGTAGATAATTCAAAAGGACTTAAACACTTGATGACATGATGTTATGTTCTACAATATTTCGTTCTGTTTCGTCATATTCTATGTCTCATTAAAAAATATATTTCATTACACTTAAACATTACATCCAAGAGAGTGGACATACTGATACAAAACCTACAAAGAAAAAAATGTGTTGTTCTTAAAAAATGGGATCAATTGCTTGCATTATATTCCTCCTTAATCCACTACTAAATCGTTGACAGACTGAGATTATCTATTCCAAGGCTACCGTTCTCATTTAAGCTTGAATTTTTGTGCCTATATAAACCGTCTACTCGGCTGAAGTTGATCAGTTTGAAATCTGAATTCTCCCAAGATTTCATAAATACTTAATTGTTTCTAAATTTTTAATCAATTAGAAAAATACTATTTTCAACTATGTATTATATAGTTCTATTCACGCTTGCGGCTTTTGTTGCATATTCTTCTCAAACAGGTATTTATATATATTTTTAAAACGGTTTCCAGAATTTATGATATTGTCAACAGTTCCGCACTGTCCGGCCCGAGACGGTGCACAACCAACTTACATTCCACACGATGATTGTACGAAATTTTACGAATGTTCTAATGGGGAACCGTTTTTGTTTGACTGCCCAGCTGGATTACACTTTAATCCTGATAAAAATGTTTGTGATTGGCCCCAGGACGCAGGATGTAGAAGAGCAACAGAATAATTTTTTTTAATTTATATTACTAATATTTCTTCATTTATGGAAATTGTCAAAAAAAGTTTAGATAAATAGTAACAATGAGGAATTCTAAAACTTTTTTTCAAATCCCGGTCTTTATCCACTGCGCAGATAACCCACTTGTCAATGACAGAATGACAAGAAATAATGCCAACCGATATCGGTAATCATAAAAAGTTTTTACGTCAGCCCAAGGTACAAAGAATATTTAAACGGATAAAAAAAAATTGGTCTAAAGAGTTTAGACAGTACTTCCCTCGCTGTCGGAAACTTGACGACTGCATGCCTATTGTGTTTTTTTTTCTCATTACATTTTTGTAGTGGTGTAACATCCCCCAAATTAGTACCCATACGCTCCGCCGGACCCTCCGCGTTAGCGCTCGTGTCACCAGCGGAGATGTCGGTACGACACCTCCCACGCCAAACCACCCTCACCCCATTGGACAAATAACCGACTCAGCCCTACAGTAGGAGAGGGGATCACTAATAAAAGAGGGTAGCACACCCTCTTCAGGCAGAGTTCTACCAGCTCTCTTGGGTGATCTCCACAAGCACTGGGTGTCCGGTCAAGGTGGAACAACTCAAGACTTGCCCAGTAGAAATCTCCTCGTCCTTCGTAGCGAACTCCACAAGCACTGGGTGTCCGGTCAGGGTGGATAAGCTACGGGCGAGCCGCAGCCCCGATACCACGCCGAGCTACCCCTTCCGAGAAGGCGAGGGTGGCCCCCAAGGCTTCCACAGCAATCGTCCCCGAGGCGGAACGCCGTGACAGCGGATGCGGGCTCCGAATAATAATTAGTGTACTGTGTTTTTTTTGACTTTGTAAATACATTATTATTAAATAAACTCTTACAGTGGGAATTTAAAAAAAAATTGTGATGACGTCATCAACATTTTTGCAAGGACACGTATATCAGTTGGGATAGATGTAGTGTAATACTAAGAATAAAATTATTGTATTCCCAAATTTTCGGGAAAATGAATTGGGTCGTTTTGAATATTGATTTCTTATAATCAATAAAATAACGAAACAATTTACTCACGTAGACGGCGCCGGTGTGTAATATCTAGAGAGCGGATTTCTGTCGGGCTAGGCAAGGCCAAACTCGGTACGGCTCGTACGGGATGCGAATTCATTGCGGTTGCGGACTGCACTTCGTTTATTTGAGATTAGAATAACGTTGTTTCGTTGCACTCTGCTGTTAATTCCCGTTCTCATTTACTTAGCCGTTTGATTAATAAATCGTTAATTATATTTATGGAATCCAGCACGTCCCCCCCTATAATCGTGACGTAGCCCGACAGAAATCCGCTGTCTAGGAATATGAGGGGCAACTGAAAATCGTTTATGTATAAACATTCTTAATTTAAGATGACAAGCGTAACAGCATACGTGAGAGTCAAACAGAGAAACTGTAAACAAAACGACCATCGGTTTTAGGGCTTCGACTTCCGCTTATTATATAAAACATTGGGTTTTATTTTAATTCTTGACGGTGAAATTCACAATTGGTTGATTATAAACATGTCTATTCCACATTCGCTGAACCAAGTGAGCGCATAAAACAAATGCAGGTCTGTAATCTTAAAGTCGATGTAAATAAGCGTGCTACCCTTATGTTTCAACCGAGTTTTTCCTTTAACAAATTTTGTGTCTACCAAATTGGGTTGGTTGGGGTGTAATACTAATAATAAGTGTTGCCTTTAATTTAATCAATAAAATCAATTGACTTCATTAATTTTTTTGAACCACCTCTTAAGAAAATCTAAAAAGTCACAAGTACAAACTCATCACATTTTTTGCATTTTAGATAGGATTTATTCAGCAAAATTTAAGGGTGACGTCATCAATTTTTTTAGGAGTTCATCCCTCCAAAAGTTTACCATGCTTATAATAACTTTAAAATATTCCCAAGATTTCAAAGCATTCGCTTTTGTAATTCCTGATTAAATCGATAAAATAAATTTACGCATTCATTAATTTTTTTGAGTCACCCTGCATATGCAAATCCAAAAATATGAATGGAATGATAAATCACAAGTACAGACCCATCATATTTTGTACATTTTAGATACGATTTATCCGGCAAACTTTTGAGCTGACGTCATCAGTTTTTTGTAGAAGATAACCAAATATATTTTGACTGAACATTTATTATGCTCTTTCTGGCCTTAAAACATCTGCAAAATTTCAGAGCATTCGGATTAAATCAATAAAATATATTTACGCAATCATTAATTTTTTTGAGTCACCCTGTATATGCAAATCCAAAAAATATGAATGGAGTAATAAATTACAAGTACAGACTCATCATATTTTTACAGTTTAGATAGGATTTATTCGGCAAACTTTCGAGCTGACGTCATCAATTTTTTGGAGGGGTTAGGAAAAATATATTTTGACTAAACATTTATTATGCTCTTTATAACCTTAAAACATCTGCAAGATTTCAAAGCATTCAGTTTTGTAGTTTCTGAGTAAATCAGTAAAATAAATTTACGCATTCATTAATTTTTTTGAGTCACCCTGTATATGCAAATCCAAAAAATATGAATGGAGTGATAGATCACAAGTACAGACTCATCATATTTTGTACATTTTAGATATGATTTATTCCACAAACTTTTGAGCTGACGTCATCAAGTTTTTGGAGGGGATAAGCAAATATTTTTTGACTAAAGATTTATGTTGCTCTTTATAGCCTTAAAACATCTGCAACATTTCAAAGCATTCTGGTTAGCAGATTAAAAATTAAATTTCAAAATGTTGTTTTATAATTTTGATTTATTTTCCAAAAATCTGGACGTTTCGGGTAAAAACTGAATTCGGAGTCGTAAACTACATGTGTAGGACTATGTTATTTTACACAATTTAAGACCCATTTACTATGTACAATTTTGAAGTGACGTCATCGCATTAGTGGTGGGGACGATTAGACAAATTTTGGTTAGCGTTTTACCATCTACATGATATTCCTAATATAAGTACAAAATTTCACAACAATCGGTCCAGTACTTTCGGAGACTATCTGTCTAATAAAAATCCGGGACGGCAGACAGACGGACAGACGGGACAGACGGACAGACAGACGGACGGACGGACAGACGGAAATGGGAGACCTATTTCTTCGTCTTCTAGGGGTCATGAAAGATCGAGAAAACGTAAAAGTAGAGAGTCGGCCGACGGACTCGATTACAATACTTCCTTTGCTTACGCTCGGGAAGTAACAAGAAAATCAGAAAATCATTTAACCCACTAAATATCTCGTGAATTGCTTCTAAATACTTCACGGATTAACTAAAAGTGATTCTTTCATAAAGTGAAATGATAATTGCAAACTATCCTTAAGACGGCACTAATAATAATATAGATGTCGTAAGTAGTTTCTTAATTCTCGTCGAGCTGCTAAGATGTTAGTCCCTGTAGAATTTTTGTTTCTCTTTTTACCAAGTTTAATTTTTCTTCTCCGCCATACAACGGACAATTAAATGTGTTGTACAGTTATGGTAAAAATATTTGCAAGTTTCTTAAAAAAAACTATTTTACATCTCACTAATGAAAGTTTTGAGCGCAAAATTTATTAAAGTTTAGTAAATATATTGAGATATTTTCTATAAGTTGTAATCTTGAAGTTAACCGACTTAGATCAGTGTAATCAGGTAAGTAGAATACAAATTTAAATAAATCCAGCAAAACATGATGTAGAGAAGTAGATTAAAGAGATTGGAACCTAAGCGGAGATCTTATCGTTGAAATTTCCGCAAAAAGTTGATTGTTCTGTTTACATATCAACGTCGAAATAACAACTAATTTTCACACTTGTTTTATAAATGTATACTAAACTATAGGAATCTCTACACTCACGATACTTATTTATATGTTATTACTTTATTATGGTTCCCTACATTTTTGTTTGACTGCCCAGATTGATTGAATTTTAATCCTGATATCAACGTTTGTAATTGGCCCTTGGACGCAAGATGTAAAGGAGCAACAGAATATTTTTTTTTTAATTTGTGTTACTAATATTTATTTAGCAAATATTGAGGCACGAATCCAAGTTTATAGAACGAGCGGCGAAGTTGTGAGTTATATAAAGGATGAGTGCCACAATGGCCTTATGAAAGAGTTGTTTATACTATGGGGAATTTTGTCGTGATGGGTGATTGGTTGGTCTAACGCTAACCACGAAATATTCGAATTTTCACAGCAGCAACTGTAATTCGAATCAATTCGAGTTTTTGTGAGTTAAAATTGGTTAAAATGTCTTGTGAAGAAGTTAGTGAAGTCCTTACGCCTCCGGAAATACGAGAAATTTTAATTTGACATTTGCCACTGACATTCACCTGACATTTCTCGTCATCGCTACCAATGTTGCGTGCTTTACTAGCTCTATTAGAAAAAAAAAACAAGGCGCGGTAGAAAAAACTTTTTTTCAAATTCCAATCTTTATCCACTGCGTATAAAATTACACTTGTTAGTGACAGAATGACAAGCAATAATACCAGCCGATATTAAAGACAACGAACAAGACTGTAACTAATTCAAAAGAATAACCTTCATACTTAAATTAATTAATTATCGCAACTATATATTTAAATCCGGAGAACGAGGAGGCCACCTATAGATATTCCCCTTCGTCTAACCCAATGAATGTATGAGACGTTTAATACATTTCTGAAATCCCTTGTGGAGTGAATAGGAGCACTATCGTAGCTGTAGAGGGATATCTTCTAAAAGGACTAGAAAATGATTAAAAAAAAAAATTCAAATAAGCGTGTCCTGTCATTCTGTGGGTCAAAATAAATGGCCCCTCTAGATGTGTTCCGATAATCCCGATCCAAAGATTAAATGAGAAACGATTTTGAAAACTACTTCATAAGTCGCATTGAGGTTGACCTCGGCCCAGTTATGCAGACTATGAATATTTTGGATACCATAAGTAGAAGTCAAAAATTCGGGATTTTGTTGATATTTTTGTAGTAACCACCGACAAAACCTGCGTCTTGGTGGGTAATCGTTGGATATGATACGGATTCCTCAGAGTTTTTTTTTAAAGTGATCCAAATAATCC